TCATACTTTGTACACTCCATGTTCCAATTTTCAATGGATGTTTATAGCTGTTTCTCTTCATTTTGAGTTGTGCCCCTTACGAAAATGAAGGTCCCATGGGCTTTTCTCCCTTGGGCTTTACTCCATTTGTGTCATCACGGTCAACTCTACTTTGAGGAGGCAGCTCTTCCCCAGCTGCATTTGGAGTGCCTTCCAACCTGAGGGGCTCATTTTCCGGCACTATATCTGACAGTATTTCTCTGCTATTCATAAGGTTTTCAGTGACTAAATATTTGGAAATAGTTCATCACTCCTTCTTCCTACTCTGTCTTCGTCTGGAAGTCATCTGAAACGTGTCCACCCTGGGTGACCCTGCTGGTATTTTAAATAACGGTGTCATAGCTTTCAGAATCACAGCAACTCACAAGCCACCACAGTATGGCAAACTGACGGATGAGCTTGGGCTCATGGTAGTGGTTATGTGCCGTGGAGTCAGTTCCGACTCATAGTGACCCTGTACAGTGTTTCTGAGGCTGTAAATCTTTACAGGAGCAGAAAGCCTCATCTTTCTCCTGTGGAACAGCTGGTAGTTTCAAACTGCTGACCTTGTTTTTCACAGCCCGATTCGTAACCACTATGCTAACTTAAATCCTAAACATGCAAAATGTCCATGGCCCTTTGGCTCAACTTTCAACCAAAGGATTGACTCGTTTATAAAGTTAACAGTAACACCCTAGAACCATCAATCAAAGGAGTTCAGAAGGGCAGAATTTACCCACGGATAAAGCTCAGAAGGCAGAAAACGCGCAGCAAAAGACCAATGGAAATGGTAAACACGGTAGGGAGTGGGAGGTGTATTGTTACATTATGGGGATTTAAGAGATAATCCGTCAATTACATACTGATGAGATCTGAAATAATGCAGTCACTGTTCTGATGAGATCTGCAGCCAATCCATTGACAAGAAATCCCCTTGTGGGTGTGGCCTTCATCCTATATTAATGGAAGTCCTCAGCATTTTCCACTCATTCTGGATCCTGCATCTGGCTTGTTATCCTCTAGCCTCTGGTTCTTGGGATTACCTGCCATATTGCCTGTCGATCTTGGACTTTGTTAGCCTCTGCAGCCCCTGAGCAAGCAACTTCTTACTTGCAGATTTTGGCCTCAACAGTCTGTCCATCTACTTGAATCAGAAGCTGCCAGCAAGACATTTGGCCCACGTACTTAAGACCTGCCAGCCTCTACAAACATGTGAGTAATTTCCTTGAGATCATTTACTATATGTTAAGTTCTGTCAGGTCGGTTCACACTCATAGTCACCCTGTATTTGGTTTCCGAGGAGCGGCTTTTGGGTTTGAACCATCAACCTTTAAGCTGCCAGTCCAGTGCTTATCCTACAACGCCACATTGTTGTTGTTGTTGAGTGCCGTCGAGTCGGTTCCGACCCATAGCGACCCTGTACAGGGTTTCCGAGGGTGTAAATCCTTACGAGAGTAGAAAGCCTCATCTTTCTCCCGCGGAGCGGCTGGTAGTTTCGAACCGCTGACCTTAAGGTTCGCAGCCCGATTCGTAACCACTACGCTACCAGAGCTAAATTTCTATATGTGTGGAGCTATAGAATCAGCTCTGGATTTCTCACTTCAGGTTATCAGTTCAAACCTACCAGCTGCTGCTAGAAACCCTATACAGGGTCACTATGAGTCGAAACAGACTCAAAGGTACTTACAATTTCACTTGTTTTGCTTCTCTGAAGGTCCAGGGTAAGACACCTCTCGTAATTGTTGGCCACTTGGTTTCCTGTAGAATTTTTATAAGTGACCAGTACTAAAGACACTTGTTGTTGGTAAGTGCCATCGAGTCGGTTCCGACCCATAGCGACCCTGTACAGGGTTTCCGAGGGTGTAAATCTTTACGGGAGTAGAAAGCCTCATCTTTCTCCCGCGGAGCGGCTGGTAGTTTCGAACTGCTGACCTTAAGGTTCTCAGTCTAATTCGTAACCACTAGTATTTACTTTTGAAGTCAATCTTTTACTTTAAGAAAAAGTGCTATCATCTTGTAGATTTTAAAGAGCATTTCAAGGATGATGGGAATATTTTCACTGATGTCTAGAAGACTCCTTTTATTATCTAAATGCATTTTTTTTTTTAATAATGGATACAGATTTGGGGAGGGGGTGGCAGAGAGGAAGGAGACCAACTTTTCAAAGAGGAAATATGTAAAAACAAAAATGAGTATTAATTTTCATTACACATTTTAAATGCATCTACTAAATTATTATACCATTTTATTATGTGTTCCTTCAATATGGCAAATGACACTGTTTGTTTGTTTGTTTTAACCTGTTTTGGATTGAATTGTGTCCCTTAAAATATGTATCAATTTGACTAGACCAAAATGTCCAGTATTGTATACTGTCCTCCATTTTGCGACATGTTTTAAATCCTAACATTTTCCCGTGGTTACCGTTCCATTTGTGTGTGTGTTACATTGGTCATACTGAAAGTGTAAATGATGATATTAGTGATAGTTGAGCTACGTTCATTATGATGATTACATATGATGAGCACGCATCTTGAGTAAGTCTTGTTAGAGATAGAAGAGTGTCTTAGTTATCTAGTTCTGCTTAACACAGGTCAATTGCTTTAGCAAACAGAAATGTATTTGCAAGGTTTGGGAGGCTAGAAGTCCAACTTCAGAGCACCAGACTAGAAAAAGGTCCTTGTCTCCATTCAGCATCTGTCGGCCCAGGATTCTTGGAAATCTCCCTGGGTCCTGGCATCAGTCTTTTCCTGGATCTACGAATGTCACAGTGCAGAGTCCCCAGGCTGAAAGTACACATTCTATTCCTGATTCTTCTTTCTTAGGTAACAGGTCTCCTTATTCCACTGGTAGTGAATGTCCATGATGTCATTATCTGGCCCTGAGAAGGCAACTGCAGGCAGGATTCAAAATTTAGTACATCTAGGAGCTTTCTCATAGCAACATAAATTTATATTCCGTGATGTTATGAACATCCAAAAGGCCCTTGGCAAAAAAAAAAGATTTCAAACCTTTTCCACTTAATCTCTTCTCACTTTATCCTTTCATCTCTTGTTGCGTCACTGGGAAACTCTGTTACATTGGATAAGGGATGTGATGGGATTGTGGGTATAGCAGCTCACCTTCAATCCAACTGCTAGCCTCCTAAACTGAGAGAAGAAATTTTTGTTTCAACGTTACCCTCTTGTGCCATTTCTGTTACAGCAGCTCTGGACAACCAAGAAGTCAACCTTGTATTTAGGAATTAAGTACCTTTTGTTCATGATGTGTCTCTCTGTAAGTGGGCTTGATTTACAAATAGTTTGTTTCATATTTTTGTAGGTATCTTTTTAAGAAATAATCCTTTATGTGTTCTTGGCCTCATTGCTAAAATTACAAGTCTTTCTTAATTGGCATGCTCTAGTGTGGTACTGTGGAGCTCTGGTAGCGTAGTGGTTACGAATCGGGCTGTGAACCTTAAGGTCAATGGTTCGAAACTACCAGCTGCTCCATGGGAGAAAGATGAGGCTTTCTACTCCCGGAAAGATTTACACCCTCGGAAACCCTGTACAGGGTTGCTATGGGTCGGAACCGACTCGACGGCACTTAACAACAACAAGTGTGGTACTGTGGGATAAAGCACTGGACCGCAAGGTCGGTTGGAACCACATGATCGGTGGTTCAAACTCACCAGCTGCTCCTTGGAAACTCTATACAGACAGGGTCACTATGAGTTGGACCCGACTCAATGGCACTTAACAACAAAAAAGGAGATTTTAAGAGCAGAGATGTTTCTTTTATGTCTGCTAAAATTTACCTATTTAGCCAACTTGCTTGGAACTTTTGTTTCTTTGGTTTTAATTCTACTTTTATTAAATACGTACCTTTTCTTTTCTATCTTGCAGCCTTTAAGCTTCCACCAGGTGCCAAGTCAAAACATACCCAGGCATACACGCCAGCAGAGACTGAGTCTCTAAAGAAACCTTGCTAAGCATGGCTTTGGATCTCAGGAAATCTGTTCATCGTGAAAACTCCAGTGATGGTACTGGGTCAGAAAATCAGGAGTTTCAACCCACCCATGGACTCGGTGTGCAGAATGGAGAGGGGATCTCAGGATTCCAGGACACTCAGCTCAGTTTATTACAGTACAGCAACATCTCATATGCAAGCCAGGAGCTACAAAGACTCCAGAGAGTATTTCACTTGTGGCTCCAGCCAGACAAGCAGAGCAAGGAGGAAATGATTTCCCAGTTGGCCCTGGAGCAGTTTCTTATGAACGAGCACTGCAGAAATCCCTCTGCTTTGAAACAGAAATGGCATTCAAGTGGCAGAAACCTGGAGAAATTCATGGAAAGCCTGACCAATGATTGCATGGAACCACCTAATTATGTGAGTATAGAGGTTGTGACCCCGGGGAACTGGAAATTGGGGAATAAGTATGGAGGTGAAGCCACCTTGAAGCAGAAGAGCTTTTGTAGAAACCCTTACTAGCTAGATCACATTTCCCCAGCATTTCTTACCAAGGAACAGAAAGTTTATAATAGCAGAGCATTCATCCAGTCTCCATGACTCTTCATTGGTTGTTGTTGTTGTTTGGTGCCATCAAGTCAGTAGCAACTCATAGTCATCTTATGCACAACAGAGCAAAACACTGTCCAGTCCTGGGCCTCTCAGCCAATCGCTGCTGTCACTGTACCAATACATCTCATTTGGGGGCTTTCTCTTTTTCCCCACCCTCCACTTACCCTCCTAACAATATATTGGAATTTTGACAGACAAAGTCTGGCCACACTGACTTCCAAGGAGCACTCTGGCTGCACTTCTTCCAACACAGATCTGTTGGTTCTTTTGGCAGCCTGTGGTACTTTCAATATTTTCTAACACCATAACTCAAATGCATCAATTCTTCTACAGTCATCCATAGTCACATGCACATGAGGTTATTGGAAATATTGCTCTTCAACATTGTCTCGTGCAGCAGGTTTGTCTAATGTAATACGTCATTTGATTTCTTGACTGTTGCTTCCGTAGGTGAAGATGGTTGTAGATTCGTTGGTAGATGAAATTATTTTTGGTTAGTGGGTGTTGGGTGTGTTGGATATCTCCATTGAGATCCTGTGGAAGCCCGACTGTAACACGCTTCCCACAAGGACCTCAGTCTAATGCAGGCATTGACATGACACTGACTGTGATTTGTTTTCAGGTCCATGTCTGCATGCAGGGACAGGAAGGCCTCTTTTTGGAAAATATGCCCTTGCGAGATGTCATCTATCAACTCAACAGACAGTTGTCAGCGAACACCCCTACAGGGGAGAATGTGGAAACTTCTCAAGATCCTCCCATGCCAACAAGACAAGGTGAGTGAGGGGGAAAGGAATAACACGTGGAGGTTCTCATTGGACCCTTTGAGGTGCAACTTCATTAAATTGTCTGTTTGTTCACAGGAGGGAATGAGAAGGAAGACACCCGAAACATAGATGATAATCTCTGGCCTACACTAGGGATTATCAAACCTGAAGACAGAGCTCCTTCTCGGGACAACCCTGAAAACGCCACAGGAACAGAGCCAGGCCCCTCTGAGATCCAGGAAGGGGCCTTGGGAGGACATTCTGAAGACGTTCCTATGGAGTTAGAATCTAGATTTCTTTCCAGTTTGGATCATGTCACACCTGAGCCTGACTTTGCCCATCAGACCAATGAGGAGAATACTCCAGGTGGGGAGCAGCAAGAAAATGCAAAACCTTATAGATGTGAGGAGTGTGCCAGAATCTTTACTTATCCGTCTCAGTTACAAGCCCACCAGAGAAGGCACAAGAACGAGAGGCCATTTACTTGTTCGGAATGTGGCAAAGGCTTTTTTCAGAAGTCAGACTTGAATGTACACAAGGCCATTCACAGAAACGAGAAACCCTACCAATGCGATGAGTGTGACAAGTCGTTTAGCCACAGAACCAACCTGAAGGCTCACCAGAGAATCCACACGGGAGAGAAGCCCTATGTGTGTTCCATTTGCAGGAGAAGCTTTCGTCAGTCATCCACCTATAACCGCCATGTCAAACTTCACAAGAAAGATGCCCTCTAACGTTAGTTCCTAAACTACAGCCCAGTGTATAGGTATATTTCCTTGCCCTTGTCTAGTTAATAACACCCTAGGACAATCAACCATAGGAGTTCAATAGGGCATCGTCTACCCAGGGACAAAACTCAGAAGACAAAGGACTAAAGGAAATGGTAAACAAAGGGAGGCAGTGGGAGGAGCTGTTACAGTATGGGAATGCAACCAATGTCACAAAAACAAAATGTGCATGACTTGGTAAATGGAAAACCAATTTGCTCTGTAAACATTCACCCAATCACAATGAAAGGTTACAAAAATAAAAAATGTATCTGCTCTCCACCCGGTTCTGAGTATCAGTCATTACAGCCAGAGTCTGTGGATACAAAGGTTTTCTCAGTCAACTTTCTGATTGGTGTGGCGCTGTAGGATAAACACTGAACTGCAAGGTCGGTTTGAACTGCAAAGTGGGCCCACTTAAGGCTCCTCGGAAACTCTATACAGGGTCGCTAAGTATCGGAACTGACTCGACTGCTCTTATCGCTTAAAAAAGACCTCTGGTAGCATTTAGGAGCTGGTCAGCAGTTTGAATCTGCCAGCACTTAAAGCGTTAAGTACCGTCGAGTCGGTCCCGAGCCTAGATAGGGTTTCCGAGGAGCAGCTGGTGAGCTAGAACCGCCGACTTTGCAATGCAGCCCGGCGCATTAACCCACCGCGCCACATCAGGATTCCACACTTAAAAGAGACGAAGAGTGAAAAAGGTAAGAACTAGGAATTCTGGGACTTGTAGTCCAACAGCCAGCGCGCAGTGCTCTCTGGGAGAAGTAGCACGCTCTGCTCAGGCGCACGTGGAATCTCGTGTCTCGCGGGATCTGCGGCAGCAACCTCGGCGGAGGTGAGAACGACCGAGGGCAGAAGGTAGAAACCCGCATTGAGGCGGGGGTGGCGGGGACGGGCACAAGCGGGGCGACGATCTCTTGGAGACGAAATTGTCGACCAAAAAGAGTTCTCCCTGGTTTTGTATCGGCCCAGATTAACAGCACTGCCACTTTCGCTTGTAGCTGGGCCTAGTGTGTTTGTAATGAAATCCCAAGTGACGTCCGTCAGTCCCTATCCCTGAGTCCCTGAGTCTTAGGACAAATGCTTGGCTCCTTGAAACTTTAAGTTGGAGAAGAGAGACTATGATATTAGAGCAGTTGGTGAATGTAAACCACAATGTGGAGATGCTGGGGCCTGGGTGGTGCTAGCAGTTTGCCAAGGGCAGCTGACATAAAGAGGGTTCCAACCTATCCAGTGGGACAGCGCGGAGTAAAGGCGTGGCCATCTGCTTCCTTAAAGATTAAACAACCACAAACAACAAAACTTATATTGTATTCTGACTCATAGCAACCCTGTATGGGCTTTCTGAGGCTGTAATTCTTTATGGGCGCAGACAGCCTTATCTTTTTCTCACAGACTGGCTGGTGGGGTTGAACTGCTGACGTTGTGGTTAGCAGTCCAGGGCTTATTCTATAGAGCCACCAGAACGCCTTTCCTTAAAGAATGCTGTTGCTGTTAAATGCTGTTGAGTCGGTTTCGTCTCTTAGCGACCCTGTATAGGATTTCCGAGGAGCAGCTTGTGGCTTTGAACTGCCAACCCTGTGGTTCGCTTTCCAGTGCTGATCCTATAACGCCACATCAGGAGTCCCAAGAAAATCTAATGGGACAATTCTGCTTTACAATACCAAGTGGTGGGGTGGGAGTGAGTTGCTATGCGAATTTATGACAGTAAAATGCTTCCTGAGAACTTTGAACAGAAGACAGCTGTGATCATTGAGGAATAGTAGCTCACGGGTTACTCTGTTCATGTGGCTCTGCTTTTCTAGAAGTGTGTCAGACAGTGCCGTTAACCAGCCCCTCTGGATGGAGGACGCAGGGCACTGACGGGCAGGAGGGGAGTTTAGGGGATGGGGATCTTATCTCTCCCCTTCCTCGCTCCTCCCTCCAGCGGCTGACAAGTATAAAGCGCTCAGGAATGAATCCTGGCTCTTAACATTTCCTGCGTCAGGGACAGAGCGGTGGTGGTTTGCTGTGGAATCGGTTCCCACTCATAGCCACCCTGCATAGGGTTTCTCAGGCTTTACGGGAGCGGAAAGCCTCCTCTTTCTCCCGTGGAACAGCTGATAAGTTTCGATGACCTTGTAACCACTGTGCTCCCAGAGGGTCTTCAGGGAGAGGGTACTAATGGAAAACCCTGACTGACAGCTAGTCTGGTGTCCCTAAACCAAAAAAGAGAAAAGAGTTGTTGAGACAATTCCAACTTATGGCGACCTCAGGTGTGGACTTTTAAGGCTGTGATCTTTTTGAAACTGACTGCCAGGTCTTTGTCCCAGAGTACCTCTGTTGTTGTTGTGTGCCGTCGAGTTACAGGTTCTGACCCATAGCGACCCTGAACAGAGTTTCTGAGGCTGTAAATGTTTACGGGAGCAGAAAGCCTCATCTTTCTTCCGCGGAGCAGCTGGTCGTTTCGAACTGCTGACCTTGTGGTTCACAGCCCGATTCGTAACCACTACACTACCAGAGCTCCTTTAAGTACCTCTAGGGGGATTGAATCCACCAGTTGAGTGCTTAACCATTTGCACCACTCAGGGACTCTAGATGTTGTTGTTGTTTGGTGCCATCAAGTCGGTACCGACCCATAGCGAGTGACCTTAGGCACAGCAGAACGAAACACTGCCCAATCCTGGGCCAGCCTCACTACTGTTGCCACACTTGAGTCTATCAGTGCTGGCTTGGGTCAGGTGCACCTTAGTCCTCAAGCTGACATCTTTGCTCTTCATCACTCTGAAAAGTTCCTGTGCAGCAGATCTGCCTAATGTAATACGTCATCTGATCTCTTGACTGCTGCTTCCATGAGTGTTGATAGTTGATCCAAGAAGAATGAAGTCCTTGACAACTTCAATCTTTTCTCCATTGATAAGAATGTTGTTTATTAGTCCAGGGGTGAGGATTTTGTTTTCTTTACATTGAGACGCAATCCACGCTGAAGGCTGTGGTCTTTGATCTTTATCAATAAGTATTTTAAGCCCTGTTCACTTTCAGCAAGCCAGGTTGTATCATCTGCATGTCACAGGCTGTTAATGAGTCTTCTTCCAATCCTGAAGCCACGTCTAGATGTGTCCATTGTCGTGGAGTTGGTAATATAAATTGTTATTTCCATTTATAAGCTATCAGAAAAGACTGGCTGTTTTAAGAATCCATCATTTAAAGTTTTCGGCTGCAGTGACATACAGCATAGATAATAGTGTAAATGAGACATCATTGAGGGCTACGTGGCAGTAAACCTGTTAGTGCCAGTGTTCTAGTTTGCCTATTCCTGACACAGTTTTAATTTTTTTGTACTCTGAACATTTTTAGGGATCATAAATTTGTTTAATTGGATTAGAATTGGTTTGGGAATAAATATCTTCCAAAAAGAGATTTATCTTAAAAATGAAAGTCCTTAAAGATGAGTTTACTGAGAGTTTATAAAGTCAGATATTCAATAGGCATAGATCCTTTCAGTATTCCAGTATAACTTCAATATTACCCAAGTAACATTGAGAGAAGTGCGCTCTGGTAGCATAGTGGTTACGAATCTGGCTGCTAACCTCAAGGTCGGCAGTTCAAAACTACCAGCGACTCCGTGGGAGAAAGATGAGGCATTCTGCTCCTGTAAAGTTTTACAGCCTCGGAAACCCTGTGCAGGGTCACTATGAGTCGGGACCGACTCCACGGTACTTAACAACAACAGGTTTGTTCTCCCTTAATATTCTTGGATTTTCTTTTTGCATCTTTGGGAACAATTACATTAAGTACTTTATTAATCAGTATGCCAGTAAGGGTTAGGTGTTTGCTTTTTGAAGGAATCTTCCAATGAAGCGATTGGAGAAGTTATTTTCTACCTAACTTATAACAAGTCCTCTTGGGCATACTTTGTCTATCGAAAAATATTTTGACCTTTTAGGTACATTTTGGGCCAGTAGTCAAATAATCCTAGGGCAGATGTAAAAATCTTAGAATAATTTAAGGTTTGCCTTTTATACCTGTTTTGAAAGCCTTTACATTTTTGTCAGGTAATTTTTCCCAAGCCGTGGATATAATCTATTCAAACATGTTTATGCTATCCATTCTGTTTTTAATTTTTTTTTAAATGTTAAAAGTGTTTATGAAGAAAAGTTTAAATAAAATATTTTTAATCTTAAAAAAACCCACAACAACTTTCCAACTCACAGCAAGCCTGTATAGGAGCAGACAGCCGTATTTTTCTCGCACAGAGCAGTTGGTGGGTATGAACTGGCGATCTTGTGTTAGCAATTCTGTTCTCAAACCACAGCACCATCAGGGTTCCTTGGTGGTCGTTATGTGCCGTGGAGTCGGTTCCGACTCACTCATAGCGAGCCTGTACAGGGTTTCCCAGGCTGTAAATCTTTACAGGAGCAGAAAGCCTCTTCTTTCTCCCGCGGTTCCTTAGAGGTGTCCATATGATTGTTGTTTAGTGCTGTGGAGTTGGTTCTTTACTGTGTCTGTACTGTGCATTAATGCCTCACAGGATGCACACTGGGGAGAGGCCTGTGGAGATTCTGGATCTGTTCTCCAGGGCCATGGGATTAAATGTAGTCAGGCTGCTAAACTCAAGGTCAGCAGTTGGAAACTACCAGCCGTTCTAATAGAAAGATGAGACTTTCTGCTCCTGTCAAGATTTATGGCCTCGGAAACCATATACAATGTTGCTATGAGTCAGGAAAGGACTCCAGGGCACACACCCACCACCACCAGACACCCAGAGCATAGTCTAAAAGGGGAGCAAATTCCATTGGCCTCACAGACATGGAAATAGAGGACCAGTGCTATGACAGATAACCAGGTACTCGTGACCCAAGAAAGTTGTAATAAAATGGGGACAAGATCTCAAAGCAATTATAAAACAATAGACAAAATGCACGGCACGATGGTTTTCAGACATTACCTAATAGGCAGCTCAGGACAATGACCTCAGAGACGATTTG